GGTTGGGGTCTGTTTATACAAATAGCAAATCAAACTCGCTAAGGGACCAGGTCCATATTCATGTTGCCACACATTACGTAGAATCGACATTATCTTGTAGCAATTTGACTATTTACATCCAAACAGACCAAAGTTTAAATATTTCATGTTTGCCGTGCACTTTTGCCAGTATTATATTATTTTCAACTAATAGAGGCCAAAACAAAGGTTAAAGTATTGAAGCGACGTTTCATGTCAAATACCGGTCAATTACGTACAAATACAGTGAATAACTTTGAATTGAAGCCTCAGCATTTTAATGCATTTCTGAGATAAATTGATTGATTATACACCATATTTCAGCTGCCATTTTGCTTTTGAGCTCTTTTAGCGGTCAAAATACGACAGGATAACGATCGACGTTATCTGAGGTGGGTACCGGTGATAACGTCAATTCAATGTTATGCGTGGCAACACGAGTAGTAGAGTACTTCAGATTAATATACAACTAAATGAACTATTTATCTAGTATCCAGTACTTTGTATTAATACACAACTAAATGAACTAATTATTAAAAAGTTTTTACTAGCATCCAGTGGGCCATTCCATTTAATATCCACACCCCCTGTTGACGAGGTTTCTGATTTTAGACCCCTTCAGAAACGGTTTTCTGTAAGCCCCCTCGGAAATGGGTTGTTCCAGAAAAGATCCATACTCCCCACACCAGGGCTCGAATTTTATCGCGGCAATTGCCGTAGAGGGAGAACAAAATGCCGTGGATCATTGTGGCAACGACGGCAATTTTTTGCCGTATAGTGCAATTTTTATACCATTCACTGTGCATTACTATTTTGATACTTGAATTCAGATGTTGATCAAATATGCGTAAATCACTATTTTAGTCTCAGTTTTCTTCGCAAAAAAAACACACTAAAGAAATACGTAGACATGTTTCTAGCTTGTCAAAAATCCAAAGTAACAATAAAATTAAAGTTTTATTACAGTAATTTGAAAAATGCCGTGGAAACTGTCAAAATTGCCGTAGACAGCTGTTACGTTCTACGGCAATTTTTAACGCCATTGCCGTCGATTGATTTCAGGGAAATTCGAGGCCTGCCCCACACGGAGGAAATTTCTGCCATCTGGAGAGGGAGAAAAAATTGTTTCTGATAATAGTAAATGTATTAGGACATCCGAAGGGGGTAGGGGGGTTAACTTCCTATTTCCTCTGTGGGGGTGGTATGGATGTTTTCTGGAATGACACCCGACTGCATTCCACCTTTTCTCACCGCCAAAGATTCACACCAGAAATTCAGCTTTAAAACTATATCCGCCAGAAAGACTAATTATATCTAAAGCGGTCAAGTTACATGCGCCAAAGGTGCAAAAATCACATCTTTAAAAAAATTTTAAAAATAAAAAAGGTGAGTGGAGGGAGTGGAGCTGAAAACAATTGAGCAAATTTTTAAATTTCGAGCCTCTGAAATCCCATTTCCTGGACTTTGGGGAAGATTTGATAAAATTCTGATGGTCAGAAAACAGCGTTTTAGTAAGTCGAAATTTACAATTTGTTTACAATTTCATAGTACTAAATGGCCGAAGGCGTATTTAATCAACTATATATTTGGAAAAGTTGCAGGAAAGTATGGGTAATATCATTAATTCAAATCAATTGTCAGTACTTTAATTAAAGCTGTATTGCACAGTGCAAGTAGAAAAGGTTATAAAGAAGTTAAGAAAGAAAGGTAGCGATGAGCCGATACCAGAAAAAAGCCGATTCGCAGATCAGATATATCGGAGCCGATATAAAAAATAATCGGCCGATTAATCGGCTATGGCCGATATTTCTGTGTACCGGGGTACAAGCGCCGGATAACGGTTTTTGACAACTTTTAATACTTGTGTATACGCCACAAATTGACGTACTAGTTTTAGTGTGTTCCGGAAAATATTTACTCATATTGGACAGTTATCTGTCACTGTACGAGTCAAATGAATTAATGGATATGGGATTAAATACGCGCAACTGAGTGTCAAAAACAAGACGGAGTGTAGACTACTAGATTATAGAGTTATTTTTCTTAAAAAAAAACCAAAAAAATTGCGAATATCGGCAAACAGCCGATTATAAAAAATAATCGGCTGATTATCGATTATTTTGAAAACGCCAAATATCGGCCGTACCAATTAATCGGCTCATCCCTAAAGAAAGGTACTTTATTTAAATAAAATAATGAAATATTATTCAAACATTAATTATTCATTGGTATATTAAATTAACACCATTTATACATGCAGCTTGTGTATCCGCCATTCTTCTAGAATGCACGCTGTCAAAAATAGTGATGCGCTAAAATTTACCCCAAAATACGCCGCCAAAAGTCAGTAAAGTTTTTTCCCACCAAAGATCTTTGGCAGGAGGGGCCTGGTATGCAGTCGGGGAATGACCCAATTTGCTATTTTTTAAGAACCCCCTCAGAAATTTACAATTTTTCTCAAGCCCTTAGAAATAACTGTTGACGTGGTTCCACTATGATAGACCCCTCAGTAATTTTTGGGAATTATTTACCACCCCCTCAGAAATTTTCGTCAACAGGTATACCTTCCTCCTCCCCCCTCAGAAATTTAAAAAAATTTTTTAACTCCTTGGAAAATTACAAAAATGTTGACACCTTAAAAAATTTTCCTTTCACAAACCCCCTCGGAAATTTCAACTTGGCACACCCTCAGAAATTCAAAATTTCAGACCCCCTTCGGAAAATCTAGTCAACAGGAGGGTGTGGATATTAAATGGAATGGCCCTGTACTTCGTATTAATATATAACTACATGAACTAATTATTAAAAATAAACTGACCTTCAAACTGAAGAACTTGATTGGCTTGTACACATTGGTTTCTTTGTCATATAGTTCAATTGCTGTTGCTTGTAAATGTTTTATAAACCAGTACTGCGAAGTAGCGAAATTTCGGGCCGTCTTTCACAACAAATAACATCACAATAACTGCACATCTTTTTCTCTTTAATACAGAATCATTTTCCCCGTCCATTGAGTTATAATTTCCAAGACGAACCAGTCGCTATAACGTAAAATAAGCGGGTATTTGTGAACAAAAATGCCCTTTGATATAACACGAGGTAACCAGCGCCATCTTGTCTTCTCCAAACATTACAGATTTTCCCGCCAAAACCCGCCCCCAAAGTCCCGTATGTACCTGACGTCACAAGTGTCATGGACGGGGGAGGGGGGGGGGGACTACCCAATCTCGTACCCAGAGCAATGCCTGTACGCGGGCTAGGATGACATTGGCTCTGGGGAAATTGAATTTTTCCTGTGCTGTGATTGGTTTAACGTTTATCAATCGTGCATGTCGACAAAGAAGCGGAACCCCTAAATTTAGGGGTTCCGGTTGTCAATTTCCCCAGAGCCAATGCTTTCCTAGCCGGCGCGGCATTGCTCTGGATACGAGATTGGGGACTACCGCGATATGAAACGGCAATTGCTAGATAGTATACTTCAAAATAAGGTTTCCGTTTTTATATCAATTTTTTAAATAAGTTAGGGTTAGGTTAGGGTTATGTTAGGGTTGTGGTTAGGGTTCGGGTTAGTATTAGGGTTTAGTTTGGCGTTAGGATAGTTTTTTCTACGTTATAAAAACGGAAACCTTATTTTGAAGTATACTTTCTAGCAATCACCAATATGAAACCGGAACACTGACTGCAGACTGCAGATGGGACTGGGTACAAAATGGTATAAAATGCAGACTGAGGATAAAATGCAGACTGGGGGTGAATTAGGGATATTTTACAAATTCCCGCCAAGCCATAGTCGAAATGGACGAAGACACGATGTAGAGGTATTGATATTATATGAATGTTTATATTATGCACCTATCAATGTTATGCCCCCAGGGGGGGGGGAGGCCGGGCGTACCCTCGGGATTTGCACGAAATTTCTTGCCCCAAGTGGGGATATTTACCATTCTTCAGAGCCCGAGGGTTGGTACATTTGACAAATCTTAAACCACGTGTTTAAGTCGTGTGACTACCGCTGACCAGTAATTCCTTGGATGCGGTTGGGCAACCCCATGGAAAGCAAGCAGAATGGCGAGCGAAACGAGTAGAAATAGAATTTTAACGGAATTTTTGAACGTTTTGATGGAGAAAAACTTGAATAATGTTGTTGAAACATTCATTGGTCCTAAATAAAATTTAACAGTCCTAAATCATTCAACAATCAACAGTTCTGTGAATAAAATCCTTTTAATAATTTTAAACAACGTTGCTGCTCTATTCTCAACAGAATTTGTTAATGGGGATTTGGTCCCCAGGGTGGGGAATATTTCAATATTCGCCTGTATTTTGTTGCCCCATATTGGGGCATTAGCTCAAAATTTTCTTCAAAAAGTCTAATCCCCACCTATATCCCGGCCTCCCCCCCTGGGGGCTTAACATTGATAGGTGCATTATTCTCATTCAACCGTAAAACTTGATAACTTTAACACATTTCTTTACGTTTAATATTTGAACGTTTGGTTACGTTGCATTAGATCGGAACAATGAAATCTGGACGTTTTGAGTGTGAAATTGTAATGGTATATATCGTGTCAACTGTCAAGCACATGGTTTTGTATTAGCAATTTTTCATATTTTCAAGCGTTTCGCTCCTGTAATTCAAGTTCATATACATATATAGACCAATAGCAAGCTTGCGTTTGCCGAGTTTTGAAACATAAATGAGTAGAGTGCTTGTCGACAGTCGACACGATATATACCATTTACAATTTCACACTCAAAACGTCCAGATTTCATTGTTCCGATCTAATGCAACGTAACCAAATGTTCAAATATTAAACGCAAAGAAATGTGTTAAAGTTATCAAGTTTTACGGTTGAATGAGAATAATATAAATATTCATATAATATCAATACCTCTACATCGCTGTGGCCCATTTTGATGAAAGTGACTACACTGACTAGCTTCAACCACTGAGCTATAATATTACTGGAGGAGTACAAATTAGTGAGTAAGTGTTGGGGTTCTACTATAAATTTCAAGCCTCGTTTGGCAAATTACTTATAGGCATGTGAATTACGTGAAGTTGTGAGTAGCAACGAGATGTATCAAACAACGTTTATAGCCAAATTATTTGTCTACTGACTCTACCGAAGACTGCTACCGAAGTATAGCTTCGAGACTAGAGCTTTAAAGACCATGTCAAGTCCGTAATGGGTCATTCCATTTATTATCCACACCCCCCCTATGGATGAGCGGATTCCTACCGGTCAGATATTAGGACTTAGGGGATTCCTACTGGTCAGATATTGGGAATTAACAGATTCCTTTGGCCCGATTCCTACCGGTCAGATATTGCCGTCAAGGTGTAGCATACTATATTGCCAAATATTTATTATGAGAATCATAATAATTTCATTTATTATTCTCACCCCCACCCCCGGTCTGACCCCCCGTCTGACATTGGGAATTAGCAGATTCCTACCGGTGAGATATTGGCAATTAGCAGATTCCTACCAGTGAGATATTGGCAATTAGCAGCATTCCTACCGGTTTAGATTGATACTGTCGATTCCAACAGGGTACTTCTCTGAAATCCGATTCCAGTGAGATATTGGCAATTAGCAGCATTCCTAGGGTTTAGATTGATACTGTCGATTCCAACAGGGTACTTCTCTGAAATCCGATTCCTACAGGTAACATTTTTACCAGAGCTCATCCATAGGGGGGGTGCGGATAATAAATGGAATGACCCAATGTAAACAAATCCTTTGTTTAATACATCAATACATTTTGAACTGCTATATTTGTCAAATAAAGACTAACTAAATACCAAACACTTTTCTGGTTCGCTATTGTAAATTAATATAAACTAGAGTACGTTTCAATTCAATGGGCAATGTGGGATCCCCTTTGTTAGGCCACATAAAAAAAATGACTTGTTTAGCGTCCACCCATTTTAATTTTTCTAGGTCGGGCGGACGGATTTTTTTTTTTTTTTCGTAAAATGCAACACAAAATTCTGCTAAATGCAGGAAATCCAGTATATTACCACAGTCAAAACTCACTTTAATTCTTTCAAAATCCGTTCATGTTTTTTAACTTCCCGTTCATGTTTTTAATAAACCAGAAAATTACCGTTTGGCGGTCACGCGCGAACACTTTAGCTGCGAACAGGCATATTCTGGGAAGGAAACTTTGTGTAAACGTATTACATAGCTCCCAGAAGAATAAAATCACCATTTTTTCAAGTAAAACGGTCTTTTTTATAGAGTTTTTCCACTAAACTCGGACAAATTTAAAAAAAAAAATTTAAAAAAATTGGAGGTCGGGGACTATGTGGCCTTATGAGCAGAACTGATGCGCAGAACTTGACATGGTCTTTAAACTAAAAAATATTACTCAACCCTTTAAAAACTTACCATTAAGACAGGCTGTTCTTTCATTCAAGCGTTGTTTCTTTATCCATCGTCGAATTGCCAGTAGAACTTTTGATAAACCAGTACAGCGATGTAGCGAAATTTCGGGCCGTCTTTCACAACAAATAACATCACAATAAGTCAACAACTGCACGTATTTTTCTCTTCACTAAAGAATCCCTGTCTATTGAGTTATAATTTCCAAAACTAACCAGTCGCTATAACGTAAAACAAGTGTGTATTTGTGAACAAAAATGTCCTTTGACCACGAAGTAAACCGGCGCCATCTTGTCTTCTCCAAACATTACAAATTTCCCCGCCAAAAACTGTGTGGTGAAGTCCCGTATGAAACTGACGTCACAGGTGTCATGCGCAGAGGGAGCTACCGTAAAATATTTTAAAATACGCAATAAATCCAATTTTAAATATCTATTTACCTTCGCTATTTTCACATATTGTTCGACCCAACCACGATTGTACACCCGATTAGCGCGTTTGACGCCGGCTGACAGCCGGAAATTTTGTCTCCGATTGCTCGGCTGCCAGCCCGGCTGTACTATAGTATACTGTTCGTTCAAAAAATGCGCGCATTTCGGGGACTGGTTCTAGAATGTTTCATAAGCAGAAAACCACCAAAATTACATTAATTTTTCCGAAAATCATCGAAATGCATCTAAATTCATGTCCCAATGCATATAGCTAGCTATGGGACAGGTAAATAAACGAAGAAAAAAAACAATTTCGGCAAAAAGAAAAATTCAAATTCGTTTGCGCGCATTCCGGGACCGAACTCACGACCTTCAGCATACACGCTGAGTCTTGTCCCTCTGCGCCACCACGTCTTACACGGAAAATATGTTAATTTATTGTATATATACAGGTTATTCTTAGCCAGCGCGATTAAAGATTGCGTAAATACGTACACCATCGTACACGGCCAAGGGTACAGTAGCAGCCGAGCCGTATCTACACTTTAATACAATACTTACAATACATCGCGGCATAGATCACGGCTTCCAGCCGGGGTTATTTAACTGTAATACAATACTACCATGCAATAAGAGTGTCAGCCAAGCCTGTCGGTAGTATACTGTAGTATACTACGATACATCACGGCTACCAGCCGACAATACGGCTACCAGCCGACAACACGGCTATCAGCCGGGCCTGTCTGTAGTATACTATAGTATACTACAATACATCACGGCTACCAGCCGGGGTTATTTAACTGTAATAAAATACTACAATGCAATACGAGTGTCAGCCGAACCTGTCAGTAGTATACTATAGTATACTACAATACATCACGGCTACCAGCCGGGTCAGCCGAGCCTGTCGGTAGTATACTGTAGTATACTACAATACATCGCGGCTACCAGCCGGCAATACGGTTATTTAACTGTAATAAAATACTACAATGTAATACGAGTGTCAGCCGAGCCTGTCGGTAGTATACTGTAGTATACTACAATACATCGCGGCTACCAGCCGGCAATACGGCTATCAGCCGGGCGTGTCTGTAATATACTATACATTACTTTATGGTTTCCGTGTTTGGATGACCTGATCCAAACCCACAGGGGAATGTTGCGAGAGTTAAGAAAAGCGAGCGACATACGAGCCGAAGGCGAGTGATTTTGCCCGCTTTTCTTAACTCGAGCAACATTCCCAAGTGTTTGGATCAGGCCATCCAAACACGCAAACCAT